CTGAAATTAAGAATTATATATTATATGACAATTGCCTGAATATGCCAATATTTTAGACAAAACTTTACCACATATTATTCTGAGCTGAATGTAATGATGAATATAATAAATATTGTTTTACTTACACTTTAACATGCATTTTTATACGCTTTGATGAAATGCGGAACGCATAGAAGGAGATGTCTCCTAGCCCATATAGTATATACATATATTCAAGATCAGCATCAACAGTCAAATGGACATAGCCAAGTCTGTCCGTCCGTCTGACTGTTTCTATGCGAACTGGGCTCTCAGCAAAGATGTGCTCTTGAAACTTTGCAGAGTTCCTCGTCCACGATATCATATAGCTGCCTTACGAACGATCGGTCGAAAAGTTGGTTCTGATATGGTAAACCTTTTTTATATGGGATTTAATAGTTCCATTATGATCCAAAATCAGACCACTATGCCATATAGTTGCCATAGGAAAGATCGGTGGAATAGTAGGAACTTATAAGGCAATATATTCTGTTTTCGAAGATGTTTTCAACAAACTCTGCATTCTCACATATCTGCATGAGGCAAATGTCTGCAAGGGTATTAAATCTTTCCATTTCCTTACTTTCTCATTAATTTGTATTTGAAATTAAGTATATTTTTGGCCTATAATTATAAACAGTATTATTAGCAATAAATTTAATAGAACAAAGTTCTAAAATCAAATCAATTTAAATAGCTATATAACTCTATAGAACTCTATAAAAAGCGGCTTTTAAAGTGGTTCAAAGTTGAGCCTTACATATAAATATCTTTCAAAATCGGCAAGAAACAAATGTTTTTAGTGGTTCGATTGATGAACCTCGCTTGGCGGTTCGTGAAGCTGATCTTCTATAAACCAACAATGCTTACACTGGATATACAAATGTGATGTGGTTCGGTTGAAAGGTTCGTTTCATGGCATATACGAAATTCGGTATTGGGAAACCGGCTTTTGCAGCTTTGATCTAAATATAAACTCGTAGAAAACATGGCATTTTCAGCTTGCCAAGCTACGCTGTCAGGTTGTGGTAGATGCGGCAGCTGCTTTTGGCAGCCACTGTGGCCGGCCGTCCGCCTGGCCGCCTGGTGGCCTGGCCGCCTGGTGGCCTGGCCTATGTCATGCATGCATTGGCTAAGCGCTTGCCATGGCCGTGGCCTATAATAATAAAATAGGCAATCCCAATGGCAGTTGGCACTTGGATTGCAGGTTTTGCCAATCTGTGCACATCTCTGGCCACGGTTTTGGGCCTCTGAGCGTTTTCTTTGGCGCTGCAGCATTTGTCAATCGGCTGGCAATATGTCATTATACAGTTGCTGCTCTTGCAGCAGTTGCAATCATAATAATTTATGGCAACTCATTTGCTGCTTTTTTACACCCGCTAACGGCATGAAAGAGACACAGGCACAGCAAGATAGAGAGAGACAGAGAGACAGAGAGAGAGAGAGAGAGTGCGAGACTTGCTGCCATTTGTGGCGCTTAATTATAGGCGGCTTCTGGCATCAGAAACAGCAACAGCAACAGCAACAACTTGCACCCTGAAAGCTGATGTTGACGATGGATGCGCTTTAATAAGCACTTGCCTGCCAGATCATTAAAGTAAAAATTGATTTTCTAACTTGCAACGATTTTTGCATTAACAATTAGCTGCCTGCCACTGCCACTGCCTGTTGCAACTGGGCCCCAGCCTCAGCTTCAGCTTCTCTCTCTCTCTCTCTCTCTCTCCCTCGGCATTTTTTTCTAGTTGCAGCTCATTCGCGCCGCTTTATTAATTAACAATGCCACACCAGGCAGCCGCATTTAAGGCATTAATTGCCCCAACCGGTTACTGGCTGCAACATCGGCATATAGGCTGGACGCCTAATCAATCTAGCAAATTGTCGCCCAGTCGCTATCTCGCAGCAATATTCAAACACCAAACTGATCTGCACTCTGTTCAGCCAATCTCCCTCTCGCTCTTTTCTCTAATTATGACAACTACGCAGCGCTGTGCGTGCTCACGTGTTTTTCTAATTAGCCGGCCCCAAGATGACAATAAGCGATAAACCCGTCGCCAGCATTGGACGAGCAAATTGACAATCATCGCAACGTAGAACAGCCAGAGGCAGCATCCAGCGAAACGAAACGAAACGAAACGAATCGAATGTGCAGCGCGCAGTGCTGCCAATTTGTTTCAAAAGTGCCAGGCATAGTGTTGCATTATATCAAAAGGAAGGCCCTTTCTATATACTCTCAAAATTTCTTAAAAAATAATTGATTTTTACTTGCTTTTCTTATATCCAAACCAGAAAAGAATTCAGTTTATTTTCTTCATTTTGTAATTACATTCTTTAGTATTTATTTTTTATAAATTTTAATTTATTAGATATATTTTGATACATTTTTTTAAATCTAGCTCATTCTAATCTCAGCTTGAAATAAATGTTTTTCCTCTAAAATTTTCATGAACAAATAATTTAGTTTCTTGCCTTTGTAGATCTAAATTATAAATACATTTTTTTCATTTAATTATTTTTTTTTGACCTGAGCAAATTCAGTTTTTTATTTTTTATTCTTTTATATAATAAGTTTTTGCCTCTTTTGATATTTTTGTAATTTTTATTTTAACTAGAAATATTTTCCATTAACATTTTCCTTTAAAATCAAGTAATATAAATGTATTTTCTTAACATAACTTATTATTTCTACGAATATCATTTTGAACCCATCTTTTTGCCCAGCTCATTTTTTGGCAAGTTGGCAGCACTGTCAACTCGAGCGTCTTCGGTTTGCCTTGCTGCGCGGCGTTCGCGTCAATGGCGCTGCCTGGCACACCCACTGCCAGTTGGCCAGGTTGGCAGCTTCCGCTGCCGCCCGACCGCCCGCCCGCCCGGCCGGCTGCTGCCTGCTGCCTGTAACGCCCACTGAGCGTTGGTTGAGCTTTAATGCGTTTTCATTAAATACAGGCCCAGAGTTGGCCGAGGCTTGTTAGCTCTGCCTGAGTGTGTCTCTGTGTGTGTGTGTATGTGTGTGCGAACACCTCCCACTTGGCAATCTAATATAGAGCCCGTTTACCCGCCACCCCTGCCACGTACCTGGCCCTGGCTATCAAGTGCTTGTTGGCGCGTGTTGGCGTCTTTTTAGCTCCTTTTTATATATTTTAAAGCCATTTTTCGCACATTTTGCTGACGTTTTGGCGCTTTTCGCTTCCGCATGCCTGAGACAAGACTCTCGCACACAAATATATATATATATGTATGTATATGTATTTATGTGAATTTGTTTGTATGTATGTTTTCTATCAATATTTTCAGCTATGGCTGCATCGCTCCACATTAATAACGCATCCACCCTCTAATTGCATTTTGCCTGGCCGCCTTAATCGAATTCCAATTGCTGCCACATGCCGCTTGCCGCATGCCGCATGCCGCATGCCACATCGCTGCAGCCTCAACGATGCGCAATTTCGATTACGCTCTGCTATTTTCGGGGCGACCTGATAAGGCCATTCCCCCAAGCTGCTGCTGAAGCTGCGCTTCCCGGGGCCTTCTCCTTGAGTTGAGGCTTTTCTTGACTTTTTCAGCTTTTCAGTCTTTTTGCTTTTTGTTTTTAGAAAGTGGCAACGTTTCTGAGCCGCTTCCGCATTTCGCGTCCGCTGCTAAGTTATGTGCCCAGATTAGCGGGTGTGTGTTAACTGTGTGTTTGCCGGTCAAGTCTATATACGCCGGACGGGCCTAATGAAAACCATAACTTTTAGCTTGCCTGGCATTTTGGGTCGGGCTCTACCCCCCGCCAACCCACTCTCTGTCCCTCCCTCTATCACTCTCTCGCATTGTGGCATGGGCGACGCCTTTCTTCTGGTCTGAGCTCAGTGCGTGTTGCCAGATGTTCGCTGATAGTTCTGTTGATAATTATGATGTTGATTGTGATTGAGCCAATGCGACCTTTCTGTACATAGGAAGAGAGAAATCTTCAATTAGATTTCATATAAAATTTACCCCATAATTTCTCAGCGCAACTCATGATATTTCAAAGGCTCTAACGAGAACATCTTTCATTTTATAGCTGCATTTGTTGTTGGTAGAAGATGGTCCAGGGTATCCCCTAGTCGGGCATTCTGATTTGTTTCTATATTTTTATAGCGGAGTATGGTTCAGTTCTTTCAGCTCTTTGTTTTGACAGCTGTTGCAGTTTAAGGTTGAGTCCATATGAGAAAAAGAATGTGGAGTTCAGGGTTCAAATCGTTTGGATTCGAGCGCTGATCAACTATTTTCATGCTCGATATAGACTTAAAATAAAATAAAAGTCTTAAGATCGAATCAAAACTTGTAGCTCGCTTTTGTGTAAAGCTCTAGACAACAAATTGAACATATCAGAAAAACCTCATGAAGAGCTCTCGAATAAAATATTCCCAGTTTAATTGTAAGAATTAAACAATTAAATTGAGAATATACAATTCACATATATAATACGTTATAAAAGCATATTCAAATTATTTAACAATCTTTAACATAATGCTCATTATTTAAATTTAATTGATTTCCTTTTTTTCATCTCTTTGCAGGTGAGTTCGAAAGTACCTTTTTTTTGGGGCTAACTGGCGTTGTTTTTGCGACTTCGAAAAATGCAACCAAATTGCAGCGCAGGTAAAAAATGCCTTAAATAGCTATTCAGGTTGGCCAAAAGAGCTGACAACAACAACGACGACAGCAACTAAATTAGCATAAATATGAGCAGCAGCAGCAGCAGCAGCAGCAACGAATAACCAAAGCCAAATTAAAACAATTTGTAAAAAGTTCACACAGTTATAAAGATACAAATACATAGATACACGCGCACAGATATATGCATGCATATAGATACATATGTATATTTAAATAGATATATGTATATATGTATTTGTATATACATATGCAGTTGGCTGATTTTGGCTAAAGGCTGTCACATTTTGCGGCTGTTGTTGCTGCTGCTGCTGCTGCCGCTGCCGCTGCTGACGACTGGCCATAGAGAAATGACCACAAAATGTGCGCATAAATCAACACAATGGCCAAATGCAGCGGCAGCAGCAACAACAGCAGCAGCCGCCAAAGGTGTGGAGCCTGCAACAGCAGCAGCAACAGCAGCAGCAACAACAACAACAACAACAAATACAAGATCACATAGAAAATGCAAATTTCACATGGAAAACGAGCCGCGGGGGATGACAATTTGTTGTTGTTGCTGTTGTTGTTGTTGCTGCTGCTGCTGACTCAAAACAGTTGCTGCCGTGCAAGTCTGTTGCTGCTGCTGCTGCTGCTGCGAAATGAATTAATAAACTTGCAACGGCGGCGGCTTTTGTAAAAACGCCGCCAATGCTTGTTGCTGCTGTTGTTGCTGCTGCCGTTGTTGCTGCTGCTGCTGCTGTTGTTGCCTTACAGCAACAATACGCAATGAAAACCGAACAAACGAAATTGAAATCTGACACCAAAAGAATTGACACACACACACACGACTTTGCTGCGGAGACTCTCAAAAAATGCAAATTCAACGAGCGTTCGCCCAAATCAATGAAAATTGACCAACTAACCACCCAACCGCCCTGCCCGCTCCCTTCCCCACCGACGCTGACCACAAGCAACTCCCCACACAAACGCCCAACTGCAGCGCAAAACCCTCGCGCTTACTTGACTCAAATTGCTTTTAAATTGTTGCCAACTAGGCAAACAAGCCGCTAGAGCACTCGACTAAGAGTTATCCTTTAAAATGAGCCCATGAAATATGATCTGCCAGATGGTGTACTTGGGTCTTTTAATGATCGAACTCTACGATCGACGAAAGGATTTTGAAGAACAATTTATTTTAAAGCTAAAAAAATTCATTCGGAAAGGGTATACGTAATAATGCATAATAGAAGACTATAGCTCTTAAAAAATACAAAATAGAAACAAGAAGATTGGGTAAGGGTTCTATTTCAATCGATATTTATCGATTCAAACCAAAATGAATTGATATTTATCGACTCTAATCAATATTTATCGATTAAAACAGATATTCATCGATTAAAACGAAATTCATCGATTGGAAAATCGATGTTAAGATAGTCGATAGCTTTCGAGAAACGATATTGCTTAGCCCCGATATGTATCGATTCATCAAAACGAAATGTATCCATTAAAATCTATATTTATCGATATACGCCGATTAATATCGATTTAAGTCGATATTTATTGATTAGAAAATCTATGTTAATTGATAGCTATATACCCGATATGTATCGATTAAGCAAATCGATATTTATCAATATTACCAGAAATATCGTTAAACTTGTAAAATAAACTTCAAAAGGCAAATAGAAGTCGACTCACAATCCAATCCAATAAATATATAGATATATTTTCTATGCACGTTGAATTACCCGTTTTTGCCATTTGTATTAGTTGCAGGGTATTCAAAGAAGTAACAAGCTTCGCATAACGATATTGTCCCTGCAGCAGCAGCAACAGCTGCTGCTCCATTGGTCAGCAATTGAAATGTCCAGTGTCCATTGGGCTGCTGCTGCGGGGCTGTGGGGCAAGTTGCTGCTGCTGTTGCTGTTGCTGGTGCGCTGTTATTTTATTGATTTGCTTGCCTGAAAATTGATCTTAATTTTCATGGGGCAGCAGCAACTCGACTTCGACTGCGACTACGACTACGAGTTCGGCTTTGGCTTGCGGTTCATTTGCATATCTCGATTTAGCATTTGAGTTGCATTCGAAATGATTATGAATAACTGTTAATTGTGTTTGGGCTATTACGTTGCATAAAACGTTTTTTGGCCGCGGGCAACGCCCCCCTCCCGCCTCCCCCCTTGCCGCTCTTCGTCCCCAAAAGACCTTTTGAATAATTTGCAAGCGATTTGAATTGCATTGCATTTCCGTTTTGGATTTGGGGAAACTCCAGCTGAAATATGCAACACACAAAACCGACGAAATCTGTTAAATGTGTTAACCATTGAATGCCACATTCAAATCTTTTGACGTTCAGCCCATTCACACGCATAAATACAGTGAGACCTGCTCAAATTAAACAGTTTGTCAGACTTGTACTAAATGTCGCACTTTGCACGACATCTTGCAGCCCTTCCCTTTAATAGGCCAAGCTTTTTTATATTCAATCATACTCTGTTTATATCGTATTTTCGACCGCCCATCTTATAGTGTTTAAGCTTTGTCAGATTTGAGCTCTCCCTCTCTTTCTCTCTGCTTTATCGTATTTAAAATATGTCTGTTGCATTTCTTCACCCATTTCGAATATCGTATGCTTTAACGTAAAATATATTGTACATTTTACTGGCCATAATAGTTGAATTGTTTAGTATGCCCCATTTTATATTATCGTATATTATACCGCACAATATCGTATATCGTTTCATATGCCATAATCTACATGGCATTTTAATATACCGTAAGTCTTGTTAAGAACTTTTGCACATTGTTTCTTTCAACTGATATTGCATCCCGTATGTCGTTCCGCCAACTGATAGTGTACGGTTAAAAATATCAAACAGCTTATCGTTTAACGTATCGTATATCGTAATCTGTCACATAGTCTTATTGTTTATACGATATCGCTGCAAATGTCTTATACCATCCATGGTATCCCAATAGATCGTTTAAAAATTTAGTATGCGTAAGCAAATTATTTTTTAATACGGAATATCGTAAACGATTTTGTACAGCATTTCGTATCGTTGCACATATCGTATAAAGTGCTACTATTTGGTTTACTATGCAATTTTATTGTTGGACTGGGCATAGGGCATTATATCTAACAAATTGTTATTTATTTATATCGTATATATATATATATAATTATCTTTATTGTAATCCTTATATTTATCGCATTGTACGAAGAACCAGTACGAAAAGCTATTCTCAGTTGCATATAGTTTTCGATTGCGCTGTCCTGATTTAATCTTCTTCTCTCTTTCTCACTCCCTCTCTCTCTTTCTCTCTCTCAGCCTCTCATATTCATGACCATCAATTTGGCAGGTTAAGCACAGAGTTCACGGCTATTTCAAGCACTGCTTCAGCCGTAAGCCCCGCACTCCCGCCCCTTCCCTCTAAACCCTGCTCAATGTCTGCTGCTTCCCGTCTTTATATATATCGGCTTTTGACTGAAGTCTGTCCTAATGACAACGGTAGCAGCTACTGCCAGGCAATTACTTAATTTACACTTGGCTGTTTTTGTAACCTGTTGCTGTAGTTGTTGTTGTTGTTGTTGTTGTTGTTGGCTGACATAAAAAATTGTGGGGCCTGGACTGGGCAAAGCTATTGAACAGCAACAGCAACAGAAGCGGCAAAAAAAAAACTCTGTTCAACGGACAATAGCAGAGTGTGGCCACAATTCAAAAGTGCGCAACGGGCAACGCCTCCTCCCGCTGCAGTAAACCCCACTTCTCCCCCCTCCGCCCCCCCCCAGCAGCGCATACTCCTGCTGCTGGTGGCTTGGCGCGTAAATCAAGCGACGCTGACGCTGAACAGCCGCGGCTCAGCTACTGAAGCAGAAAATTACTTTCATCATAATTTAAAGTTACTTATGACCGCAACAGCCCCCGAGAGGGACTCCACAGTCGAGAGTCTGAGAGTCTGCGACTTGCTGCAGTTGCTGCTGCGGTTGCTGATTGTCTTTGGCCGGGCTGCACAAATTGAAAAATCATCTGGGCGCAAGCAGGATGTGCTGCCTGCGCCTGCGCCTGCTCCTGCAACTGCAACTGCAACTGTTGCAACTGCATATGTTGCAGCCAAGGCAAACATTTGCACGTCAAACAAAGTGGCAGTGAAATAACAAAATTATGTTGGCAGATTTGTGGCGACGTTGAAATTATTGCAACACTGCGAACTGCAAACTGCAACTGCGAACTGCTGCACTTGAGCTGTGGCCCATAATTGCTATGTGCTGTGACGTTTGTGGCATGAATGATGTGGCGTGGGCTTCCTCGGCCGCTACTGGGCACACTCTCGCACACAGAGCCTGATCCACATTTTGCATAAATTACACTTCATTTGATTTGGGCAAGTCGCGTCTCCAATGACAATGCCACAGCCCAGCTGCAGCAGCAGCGGCAGCAGCAGCAGCAACTGCTGCAAATCTGCTGGCCATGGCCACAATCAAGTCAAGTGTTTATTTGTTTATGGGCCTTGCCGAGCGAAACTCTATTTCTTTATGCTGCTGCTGCTGCTGCTGCTGCCGTTGCTGCTTCTTTTTTAAGTGAGTGAGTGGCATGTTGCACGTTGCATGTTGGTGGTCCACATTGCGCGCTCCTTTCGTGCGTTTGTTTGCCGCAATTAGCGTGTGGGCAGCAGCAACAACAGCAGCAGCAGCAGCAGCAGCAGCAGCAGCGGGCGAGTGAAAGTTGCGCGTTGTGTTGCCTGCATTTTGATAAGCTCCCCCACAGTTGGCACAGCACAATCCCACCGCCCCCACCCCTCCCCTACCTAGCCGCCCAGCTGAACCCATAATGCACACCTGTTGCCTGTTGGCTGCCAGCCTGCTGCCTGCTGCCTGCTGCCTGTTGCAACCGGTTCGTGTGTTGCCTCCGAGCTCGTTAGTTAATGCAAAGCGCTGTAAATATTATAACAGAGCGCGTTCCATTATTGTATTAACAACAGTTTGCAGCTCGGGCGCACATAGTTGAGGCTTTACTTTACTTTACTTGACTTTAGTTTAGTTTTGTTTTTGCCAATTTTTTTTTGCTTTGTGGTATTTTTAGAGCCTGGCCAAACGGCATTTTTTATTGCCACGCTAAACCTCGTTAGTTTTTGGCTATTTTTAGCCAAATGACATCAAATGATTTTTTAAGCTGCTTTTTTTGTTTTTTTGTCTTTTGGTTTTTGTAAAAGTTGTTGTTGCTGTTGTCGCGCGAGTGATTTATATTGTAAATGATTTACATGCGCTTTTATTAACTCAATTTGAATGCTACAAAAATCAACGTTAACTGCGGCATTAGGTCACGCTTTAGTTCTAGTAGCTTCTTTAGTTAAAATT